TAAAAATATTTAAATAATTTCAAGCAAAGTACCTAAATTTTAATGGCAAAAACTTAATTTTAGCCCTTTAATTTAATAAGTTTGTAGGTTTTAACAATTTATCTTATATCATGACACTTTTAGCCCATCACCTTTACGAATAGAAAAAAATAACTCTTATTTAATATCAATTTATAACGTTCATCAGCTTACTGTTAATATTTTGTTAGCTCTATTTTTGTTACTGTTAACAATTTATCAATTAACTCTATTTTTGTTACTGTTAACAATTTATCAATTAATTGTTAATGGAATGTTAATAATCAATTGGTGAATATTATAATCTCATATTAAATAAGGGTTATTTTGTTCTATTCATATGAGTAAAAGGTTAAAAGTGTCCTAATATAAGCTGGGGAGCTAAAACCTATAAACTTATTAAGGTTAAGGCTACGTACGTTTTTGCCAATTTTAATTGCCGTAATCCGACGATAAAAGAGTTTCTTTCTTCTCCGAAAGGGATCACGGAGCAGACTGCGATTCTGTGTGGGTTGACGAATCCATGGGACGAGGTAATCCAAGAAATAGCCATAGCAAAACCAGGAAGACTGCGCAAAGAAGATCGCGAACATCATCATCATCGTCTCTGTTTGTAGAGGGCGGCTTATTATCCGATTGGCAGCTCGATGCTCGAGGTCTCCTCTTCTATTTCTTTCAATGATGAATTGAATTGTGTTGCTTGCTGTTTTGGTTTATAAGTCCTTAAGAAATGGAATTGAGTTAAAAAGTTTATTAATTTTTTCAACTGGTATTTGAATCGCAGGAAGAAATGCAAATTCTGGGTCGAAATCAGATCCACCAAAAGCTTCCGGTTCTAAAAATATCTCTCGGAAGCCTAAGACTAGCGCCAATGCTGTCAGATACGACTACCCTTCTCTTGATCTTCAGGTATTTTGATTCCTTTCTGATTTCTGATAAAAATAAGCTTTTCTAGTTGGGGTGAGAGGATGGAATTGGAGCTATGCTATCTTATGGAACTTATGAGCAGCTCATATGCTATTTTGGGTCCAAATTTGTTTATCGTTGCTTAGAATTAGTATGGGTTTTTATTCTGACTCAAAGTTTTCTCTTTTATTGTCCCTTTGCAATTTCGGTTTTCATATTATCATAATTGAACCTTGTTTTGAAGAAATCTCTTAGACCATCGCATCAACACCTTGTCAAACAAATGAGCCTTTGGGTAAATTATACATATGAATAAAATAAAATCTGCTTGTTATAAAATGGGGTATCTTAATAATGGCTTTAATCTGTTTGGATGGTTAACAGGAAGGTTTAGGTCAAAAATCAGTCGTTCAGAGCAGTGATGCAGATAATAAAATGGATAAGTCAGATCGCATTGTTTTGGTGGATTCAAATGAAATGCAGATTGTTGCTTACATGGATCAAACACCTCCTGCTAAGCCTCCTGATGTAAATTATACGTATGAATATAATTCAAGCTTTGTGTTAGGGGATGCCTCTCATAGGGGTTTGGGTTTTTATGATGAATCTGAGGCTACTCCAAGTGGAATTGATTCATCCTCAAAGCAAATAGAAGAACAAGAAGGTGCTTGCTCTGGTTTTTCTTCATCTGAGAAGGAAATGGATGCTGATGAGGGTAATTGTGCTGAGATGGAAAATCATATGGATGAAAGGTTGTTGGCTAAGGCAGTGACTCCAGGGAAAAACTCAGGGTTTCTGTCCATTGGAGGCATGAAGTTGTACACCCAAGATATGTCTGATTTGGAAAGTGATAAGGATTTTGATGGAGCATCTCTAGATGATGAAAGCTCTGAGTCATCTGGCCAACAAGAACTTGATGGATTCTCTAAGAGTGATGATTCTGAAGCTATGTCTGATGGTGATTCAGATATCGATGAAGAAGTTGCAGAAGATTACTTAGAAGGGATTGGTGGGAGCGATATTGCTTTGGACACCAAGTGGTTGGTAGGTCAGGCCCTAGAGGAATCAGATGAAGATAGTTCTTCTAGTAGTTGTTCTTTGGATGATACTTTAGAGAAGCTAGGTGGGATTGTTCTCCAGGACGCATCTAAGGAATATGGTATGCAGAAGGTCAAGTCAAGAAAGGTACGCTCTAGAGGTGCTAGAGATGTTTGGTCATCACCTTTGGATGATCTAATGCTACTGAAGGATTCAAGAACTGTTTCTGCAAAAAAGCATGTTACCAAGTTTCCTCGGTCTTGGCCTTTAGAGGCACAAAAGAGTAAAACTTCGAGAAGATATCCTGGTAACGATTGTCTAAACATGGTTAGATGGGTTGATAACTTGATATGCACTTATTCTTTATTGCAAACATAATTTTTGGATCATTAATGGGGCATGAACCTGTTGATTCAGCTACCTGGTATCCATCTAAGTGCCTGCATAAGAATAATGTTTATGGCAATTTACATTTAGAAATTTCAACCCTTTTTCATGTATACATGATATTGCTCCATTCTTATTTCAAGGTGTCATTTCTTTCTTTCCTTCCTTCTTTCTTTCTTTTTTTTCCCCCCCTCATTTGCTTCTAACACTGATACCAAAGTAACCACACTTGAGGTATGAGTTCGGTGCTTTTGTCCACCACATATGGTAAGCAATCATCTTTTTTAAGAATAACAAAGAAATTGATTTATGGCACTAGCATGTAGAATAGAGATTGAAGGTGTGCTTCTTTTTTTTTTTCTTTTCTTTTCTTTTCTTTTTTGGTGCTCCTAATCCTGGTACCACACTTGAGTCATGAGTTCAACAGTATAGTCTGCTGTATACTCTTAACAGTCAGCATTTTTTAGAATAACAAAGGAGTTGAGTTGAGGGAACTGAAGGATTTAGAGGAAAGGGATGAGAAATGGATCAGGTTAGGGTGAGTAAAAGAGTGAGAACAATAAGGTTCTAATGATGTTCTTAATCATTAGAACTGTCCCCAAAGAGTCTTAACAACAATATTTATAGGTCCTGTAACCCTACTTATAAAAAAGAAATAACAAAAAGTCATAGCCCTTTAAAAGACCCCTGAAGAGAAGCATAACCAAATTTAAATTCATATGAAGACACATGCTTCTGAACTCTGAAGTGCTGCCACACTTGTCCTTTAACAACAAGT